GAAACACAAGAGGTACAGAATTTCCTTTGGAATTTGGAGAATTACGTCAAGTGAAACAAAGTGAAGAGAGAAGAGAACAATATCAAAACTGTTGTATTGTACCTCTCACAGGTGGACATGTATTATTGGAAGCGAAAGGTGACCGAGATAGGGAAGGGGCATTTCACCATCAAAACATGGGAGAAACTTCAACTAAAGTTAAAGAAGACTTTTTTCACCAACAACGTAATCTATGAGGCAAATCACATGTTTAGGGAGTTGAAGCAGATATGTAAGATACGAGCATCTGTGAAGGAGTTCACAAATCTCAAGTTTCAAATTCCCAACCACATGGATGAATATATGTTGTTTCACTTCATTGATGGGCTACAAATTGGGCTAGAATGAAGTTGGAGCGCCGAAAGTTTAGGACTATTGATAAAGCCATCACCCCATCCAAAGCTTTGATAGATTAATGCATGACAAAGAAGAGATTAGAGATAGTAATGAACAAGGTGGGGTTATTATGGTTAAAGTGAGGAGCAACAACCACATACCAAGAATCATGACACCTCTAAGTCTGATAGGAAGAACTTTGGACGTCAAAGTCATACTGACAGGAAGACATGTACTACATATACGATGAGCCGCATAACTATGAGAGATGCCATGGACTAAAGAACCTTGGTGCCATATTACGGGAATGGAAGGAGAAATATGCATAAGAACCAGGGCAAGGTTCAGACACAACATAGTTGGGCCAATTGAATTATGCGGAGCGATCGCAAAGCAATCAGAGAAGACGAAAGAATATGGTGCATATTATGTAGACATCATGATCAATGGATGACCCACTCGTGCTATGGTCTATATAGGTGCAGAGGCCAACATCAACTATAATAATGCAATAAAAAAGTTGGGGTTGAGTTCCAATCAAAGTAATACCCACCTCAAGATAGTAATACACCACCAACTTTCGTGTACGGAGTTTCTCATGGAGTATGAATTACGCAAGGCATGTTCCAAGGTAAGACGCACTTTACTGCCACTCCTTTAGATATCATTAACATAATTCTTGTGAAAGAGTTCTTTCAGAAATGTCACACGATGGTCGATCCTTACCTCCAATGACTCTTTCTCATGGATCAAGAAGGATCATGTATGGTTTCCCTGATTAAGATAACAAAGATAGAAGGAAGAGCTCAACTATCAGCCATGCAGCTCATGATTCATCTTAAGAAGGGGCAGCGACGTTCAAAACCACCATTGAGAGTGTGACTAAAAAAATAGTAGTAGAGCGACATTGCCACCATGTATAGAGAAAGTCCTAAAAGAGAATAAATACGTAATGTATGTGGAGTTACACAAGGAAAATTAATCAAGTCAGTGTTCTACTAGCCCTTCATGCGAAAAAAGAATATTTAATTGTTCATACAATAATAATACGTCGCGGTCGTTGCAATATTAGGTAGGGGAGAGTTCCATTACTCACCACCTCATCATGCCACTTAAGTGCCACGTGGCATATAATTATCCATTTGAAGCATAAGTATTCTAGAATATATGGAAAGATTCTAGAGCCTTAAATAACTTCTTGGAAAGACTCTAGAATATCTAGGAAGAATTCTTAAAAAGCCTTAGAATATTCTAGGCATGTACAAAATTCTATAAGAATGGTTTGTTTGTAAATGTTTAGGGACTTATGTAGCAGTTATGATTTACACTTTATCCTCTAAGTTAGTAGTATAAATAGAGGTTCATCCATTTGTAAATCAACCAAGCAAAAGGAAGAAATCATCATAGCAATACAAGAGTCTTCTTACAAATTCTCTTGTGTCTTTCTTCATTCTTTTTCCGATCTAAGTTTGAAAAGGCTTATTTGAGCTTAAAAGATTGTGAAAAAATCGTGAGTAAGTTGTTTAGTGCCGAACAATGTGTTTAGTTAAAGTCTAACTCCGTGACAAATTGATGTCCATTTTGGCAATTTATATGTTGGCCAATGGTTAAAAGAGGCAAAAATGAACTTCCACTATCACTACTCAAATACAAAGATTGTGATTGACCTTTTGTGAGAAATTACTCATATCAAGTGAACCAATAATCATTTTAGTCAAGTACCAAATATTAATTAAAAAATTCCTATAACAAGAGATTCCTAATAATCCTTATAACCAACCGAAAAACAATTCAACCAACAAAAATATCCACAACCATCATCAACATTTGCAACATCAGGTCTACAAAAAGAAGAACAAAATGTTAAACCCGAGAACAACATCTAAATAATTTTAGTCAACTTGTATAACCCCGTTTTTGCTTTGCAGTTGAAAACATCAGTCCTCCAAAAAGAAAAATATCAACACTTGAATGTAGCAGACAAAATCCATAAAAAATAGTTAACTTATATAAGAATTATATATATTGTGCTTATCCAAAAAAGGATCAAAGATGCATATATTTTGTCCTAAAAAAATTTCTTGACACTATTTTGGAATGAGTTTCATAAGAATTTCTGTCAAATCAATCTTACATCTCAGATTCTATACTTTCCCTGATAAGAACAAAGAAAACACGACACTGAGATGTTCAATTCCTGGTGATAATGCCAAGCCACATATAGTAATGGCCAGAATGGTTCTATCTAAGAGAAATTCTTGAATCATTGTTATTTGCATTATTGACTACAACAAGACCTGAAGGAACATTGCTTCCAAATGGACCCACACGATATTGTTCATCCAACACAGGACCTCGATCATTTGTTCTTTTATGAAGTTAAAAACTATCATCTGACTCATCAATCCTCGATCTATAAGCCACCAGTTTAAGTTGGCTAAAATCAATAGTTATTGATCTTGAAATAACATGTGAAACCAACTTTGTATATTCAAAGGTCTAGTTGGGATGTTAGGACCATAAAATGGCAAACATCCAGATACATTTGAGCCCAACATATCTTGATGTTTACCACGCTATGGTTGTGATATCCTAGCTAGACTTTTGAGTGTGCAAAAAAGGTTTACAAATGTTATTTCAAGGCCAAAAATTGCTGGTTCTAGCTAACTTCGAAGAAAAACTATAAGATCGAGGATCGAATAGGAAAATGATAGTTCTTATCCTAAAAAAAGAACAGGTGATCGAGATCCTGTGTTGGATGAACAATATGCTTTGCATCTATTTGGTAGAAATGTTCCTTCAGGTCTTGTAACATTGAGTCAAGAAAACAATGGTGATACAAGAATTTCTCCAGGACAACACTATTCTGTCCATGACTATCTATGGTATGGTATTATCACCAAGAATGGAACATCTGTGTGTCGTGTTGTCTATGTTTCCTATCGGGGAAAGTATGGAATCTGAGATGTATGTATGACTTAACATAATTTTGTATGAAACTCATTCCTAAATTGTGTCAAGAAAAGTTGTTATCACAGAATATATACATGTTTGATATTTCTTTTGATTAGCATAGTATAACTAATTCTTATAAAAGTTAACTATTTTGCATGGATCTTGACAGTTACAGTCAAGTGCTGAAACTTTTCTTTTTGCATCCCCGATGTAATCAATTGCTCAATCCAAACGGGGTTAGACAATTTGACTAAACACTATTCAAAGGTTGTTGCTAGGTTAACCATTGTATACTTCTTGCCTAATACTGACAAAGATTTTTCCTCATTGGTAGATTTTTTGAGGTACTTGGGTTCAAAGAGATCGTGTTGGGGTTGTGAAACTTGGTGATTGAACCAATATTTTTCTTGGTGGCACTGTCAGACTTCATTAGGAAGGTTTTGAAAGATGATGGTCCAACATGTCCTTATGGTGTTGTTCTAAGGTTTGCACCTAGTGACACGTCCTTACCACCAGAGTCTTATCTACATTGTTATGTGGATGCACAAGAGATAACATCCTCTTAGGTTGCCGAAGCAAGGTGCTTTTTAACAAATGACCTTATTAAAAGTTTTAAGTAATTTTCAGTCATCAAGTAGTGTGGTAGGAACAGCAGGAGCGTCTGCTAGTATGTCTGCATGGGTTGTTATTGTTGCACCACAGTCTAGGAGATATGTTGATAGGTAGCTTTATCCTGGAAGACATGAGGATGCTGGGATAGCTCATCGCACCAGATATTTTAGTGGTGTTCTGGATTGAATTTTGGAATTCAATTTTCTCTTTGTTTAACATTATGTTCTCTCTATTTTTTTTGTTTGCTTAATTCCGTACTCATCGGTTCGATTAAACATCACAATGTGTAGGACTTATTGAAGAGAAATGCCCCCACTAGGAACTCTATGGTCTTAGGGCTCGAGACCTCTTATTAAGGGTGAAAGAAATCCATCCATCCCTTAAACAAATGAATTATAATTGCTGAAAATTGTAAAACTCTTTGGCAGTCCTCAAATATCATGAGGTGAAATTATTTTTTGAGTTTTTTGAGCTTAAAGAGGTCTAAGCATAGTGCTCTTATTACAGAAAGTGCCTTGTCCCAAGTACTATCTATCTGTAAGCCTGGATAACAAATCTTTTTTATACCCCATACATGTCAAATCATCTCGCGTGATTCTTTTTATATAACTTAAGAACCATCCATGAGAAATTATTTTTGTCTATTTTATCCTTATTTATATCTTGAGATATCATTTCTCTTCATTGAATGTTATATAATTATGTGTTGTCTTTACATAATTGATTTGCTTGTAGTCGTAAAGAGCAAATATGTAAAATGAAAAAATATCCAATTTTGTTGTGCGCTTCTACAATGACAAATAATTTAAAACAACTATTTTTAGAAACCATGAAAAATACTTGCACCGTATTGGTTGATTATTTTTCAAAATTTTGTGTCGATAAGTACCGGCAATGTAATGGTTTGAGCATCTGCATAATCAGGTTCTTATTTCCATTTGAGGCAGAAGCTGATATCTATGAAGCATACACAATTTCCTTGTACCACATAAGACTAAGCTAATGTGTAGAGAGCTGAAAGCTGCTACATAAATGGATGCATGTTGACCTTTAAAGGCATACCTTTCTTGGCCTTTTGTCTAAGATTAAGTGTAGTATATGTTCTTATCAGTATAATATTTGATATGTGGTCCATCGGTTCACGTGATACTAACTTATTATTTAAGGGGGAGAGTCCATCCAGATAGCTTCCTATATGGGCCTTTGCATCTCTCCTAGGTGTTGCATACAACCCAAGCCTAGCGTACCCCACCAATATTAGTCCAATTGTTTTTCATCTGGGAATGCAAATGGAAACATAGCCTAATCTTTTTGCTACTCGTTACCAATTATTTATACTCATAGGTGTGTGTAAGATACAAAAAAATCTCATGGAAATTAAAGGCGACATCTCTGCACCTAAAACATATAAATCCCAGCAATCTTTGTTTAATTTCCTAGAAAATTAAGTTGGTAGACAATATGAATGATTAGTTATTTATGTCACTTTATGATCACTCGAGGAAAAAACTATTTTTCTTGTAGCATCAACAACCATTATTGGATATTTGTATATGTTGCAAAACCAAAACATGTGTAGTTTGAGAAATTAGTAATGGAAAAAGCATAAACACATAGATTAAAGTACAAGAAGATACAATTTGTCTAGAATCCACAATGTGAGTCCCATCCTGCACTCATTTTGTCTACCAGATGTCAGGATTTAAGGGACTATAAAAACATAAACAAATTAATCATTCATAAATCCTATCAATTATTCACGACCGTAGAACTACATCATTTTCACATAGAATTAATAACTATAGTAATTCAATCAAGACTATATACCCGAATAAGCTGTAGTGTTCTTCGAGAATCATTACTTGAATTGAGCGGAAGTCGTCTCTTAATTGATCTTTAAGAAGTTGTTTCTCTCCCTTGTCTTACACTTTTAAAATAGTTTTGAGGGATAGGACCCTCTTTAGTCTGGAGAGTTTGAGACGTTATTTCCATGTTCTATCATTGTTAGTAGTGAATATGAGTAGTTTTAAAACAAGAAGGTAACTTCCCCATTTTTATGGGTAGTTTAAAGTTACTTGGTACCTTTCTCATCACTATGGGTAGTTTAAAACTACTAGTTAACTTCCCCATACAGGTTTAGTATTTAACTTGTTTTAATTAATAAGCCAAAAATATAATTAAAGTGAGATCTAGGAATTTACATTCTCCGATTTGGTGCATGATCTTTAAACTAATGGTTGAATATGAATGTTAATCGTCTTTTCATCTTCTTGCTTCCTTTGGTCTCTCCGGACCTCAGACTCGTATCTCTTGCTGAAACTTTGTGACCCTTAACTTGATGCACTCAGTTTCCATATTTTTCCTTCAAGCTCTTTCAAGTTATGTATCGCTGATATACTCCTCTTTTAATCACATTTTCTTCTCCTTTGCTTAAGATCGATGAGTTGAATCCTTTCAAAATTAATACCACCATTTTATGAATAAAAAAGAAAACAAACATAAACTAGAGGGTTAAATTTGTCCATTTATTCTTATAACCGAAGCACATATAACCATTTAAAAATTTGGATTCGCAGAATCCTATATTTACGGTCTACGTCTATTGTCCTTCTCCTATAAGATATGAAAACCTAAAGAAGGAAATGTTATTTAGAAAACATCACTTATTAATTGCCTTTTCTTCTCCACCGCAATCAATAATTATCTCCTCTTTTATCTCATTTGCACAAATGTCAGTCTAATAGTTTTGTTTGTGTTGATTAGTTTTCTAGGGTTTTATTGATGGCGCTGAGAGAAACAATATTAAACAATCTTTTTTCGAGGCTTAATATTACCCCTAACATTATCGTAGTTACCCTTATGTCTTTGTTCCAAGACTTTGATCCGCTTGATAGCGGGTTTGGATTTATTAATTTTAGAAACATCAATAACTCCAAGGAGGCTAAACACGCGCACCAAGGATGCTTCTTTCATGGAACTCTCTTCGGATCGAATTCGCTATGCAGACTTAGAGATAACCAAAAATAAAAACCAAGTAAAAAGATGATGCATATTCTTCTTTTTGTATGCGTCAATTATGAAAAGATGACATATATATAGAGAAGACATTCAATGAAGAGAAATGATCTCAAGACATTAATAAGGATAAAAGAGTCAAAAATCCCTTCTCATGGATGTTTCTTAAGGGGAGTGTAAAAAAGTCACGCTAGATAAGTTTAAATGTAGAGGTACAAAAAAAGAAGTGTTAACCAGGCTTTGAGATAGATAGTATTTGGGACTTAAACAATTTCCATAGTAAGAACACCCTGTTAGACCTTTTTATGCTTGAACAAATCAAAAAAAAAAATCAGAATTTCGAAATATAAATTAACTTTAAGATATTTGTGGACCGCCAAACTATTTTCCAACTTCGAGATATTATAGATTCATCTTTTTAAGAGATGGATGTATTTTTTTCCACCCTTAATTAGAGTTCTAGAGCCCTAAGACCGTAGAAATTCTTAGTTGGGAGCATTTTCCCCTTCAACAAGTCCTACATATCATGAGGGTTAATCGAACAAATGAGTACAAAATAATAAATATATAACAAAGTAAAGTGAGACGTGATTATCAAACAGGAATTCAGGAAACCAGTAGAAAAGAGGAAGTTAAACCGTGAGAAAATTGAATTCCAAAATTGAGAAAAAGAGACTCTTCAATATATAATACCACTAAAACATTTGGTGCCATGAGCTATCCCAACATCTTGATGTCTTCCAAAGTAAAACTATCGATAAACATATCTCCAAGACTATGGCACAACAACAACATCTGATCTAGGCATACCAGCAGACGCTCCTGCAGTTCCTTCAACGCTACTTGATGGCTGAAAATTACTTGGACTTGCAACAAGGTCATTTGTTAAAAATGACCTTCCTTAGGAAACCTGAGAGGGTGTTATCTCTAGTGCATCCACGTATCAAGGTTGATAAGACTCTGGTGGCATGGATGTGCCACTAGGTGTATGAGGTGTAGACTTTAGAACAAACTCATAAATACATGTCGGAGCATCAATTATTAAAACCTTCCTAATGAAGTTTGAAGGTGATACCAAGAACATGTTGGTTCCATCATTAAGTTTTGCAACCCCAACATGATCTCTTGAACTCAGGTACCTCAAAAACATTGCGTATGAGGTAAAATCTTTATCAGTATCTTTGGCCTGAAAAATATAATGATGAACTCGACAACAACATCTTAATAGTGTTTAGCCGAGTTGTCTCTTCATTCCGTCTAAGTTGTTGACTACTTCAGGGATACCGAAAAGAAAAATATAAGCACTTGAATGTACTATGTGAATTCAAAGAAAGATCAAAGATACATATATTCTATGATAGCAGCTTCTCTTGACACAATGTTAGAATTAGTTTCATAAGAAATTCTGTCAAATCATACTTCCATCTCAGATTATATAGTTTCTCCGATAGGAACACAAAAAAGAACGACACATAGATGTTCCATTCTAGGCGATAATGCCATGCCATATATAGTCATGGAAAGAATATATATGCATGTTTGATCGTTCTTTGGATTAGCATAGTATGTAAAATTCTTATATAAACTCTTTTGTGTGTATTTTTTCAACTAGTTTAAAGTGCAGACATAATTCTTTTTGCAGCCATGATGTAGTCAACTGCTCAACAAAAACAGGGTTAGAATTATGTATAAGTTTAATTAATAATATCATATCATATCATATCTATATTACCTTAAAAGCATGAACTCTTAACTTGAATGTTAAATTCATATCATATCTATAACTTAGGTTGTGACTTTTTCGATGAGTTGTGACTTTTTCGATGAGTTGTGACTTTTCTAAAGAGTTGTGACTTTCTCAATAAGTTGTGACTTTTCCAAAGTGTTGTGACTTCTCAGAGAGGTCACTTTTTTGATGAGTTGTGACTTTTCCGATAAGTTATGACCTTTTTCAAAGGGTTGTGATTTTTGAGTGAGTTGTGACTTTTCCAAAGAGTTGTGACTCACTACATGAAAAGTGTGAAATACATTGGGATTAGTATGAAAATTTGCAGGAAAATAAGTTTCTTGCAGATTTTCATACTAATCCCTGGGAAAATCCCCATGTAATTCACACTTTTCCTATAGTGACTTTTTTAATATTTTGTGACTTTTCCAAAGGGTTATGACTTCTTGGAAAGGTCATGACATTTCAGATAAGACGCAAAAAACACTTGTTCATACTACCCTTTGTTGGCTATAAATAAAGGGACTTCCTATCATTTTTCAACTATATTTTTTTAATCTCCTACTCTTCTTTTTACATTTTAAAAAATTTCGTGTGATTTATTGTCGTTGAGTGACTTCGAAGTTTAGCAAAATCAGAGGTACTATTCTGATGAAGTAAATTGTTCTATCCAAAGAGGGTATATTCTAAAACCTCGAGTTTGTCATTATATACATTAGTATGTCATGTTCCAATATATGAAGTTAGCATAATGTAGTCTAAATTCATCTGTTTTTGTTAATAATTTCTTTGGTGGTGTAAATATATGCTTTTGAACATCTTTTTCCAAAATATTAAACTTCTCAAGAGTGAAAATGTGTGAATATATATGAATCATTTAAAAATTTATCAATTACAAAATAAAATTTTATATTTTGTAATATGGAATAGACATTTTCATTTTGTCCTTGCACTAAATTAAAATTTATTAACTATAAGAAAAAATAGTTACATTAATTAAAAGTAATATTTAACATTAATTAAAAGTCATATTTATTTATGTAAGTATAAAATTTATTAGAAATACATCTATTGCACATTAATCCTTTAGTTATAATGTTATAAATTCTCTTAGTTATTATTAATTATTCCAAATGTTGCTCACACTCTTTAACATTCTTTAGTTATAATATTATTAATTCTCATAGTTATTACATTAATTATTTTTATATTTCATCTTTTCTTATATTAACTTTTGACAAATCTGTTTTATATTATTACACCGCCCCTATATATGTGATAACATGATGTTGTTATTTTTCCTTGGATGAATCATACTTGATTGACTAAATTGAAAATCGTTTACAAGTATATGAACTACATTTTTGTCGGGTGTAAGATAAACAGGTGATAATATATATGATTACAGATAAAATGTATTTTAAATTTTAATTTTTAATTTTTTTGGTAAAAAAAAGGAAACCTTTCTCAGTTAACTATGGACAATCAAATAACTATATTTGATTTATGTA